TCTCATCATTGTGTACTGGGTGGGTGGGGTTGTTGTGTGTGTGTGTGTGTGTGTGTGTGTGTGTGTGTGTGTGTGTGTGTGTGTGTGTGTGTGTGTGTGTGTGTTGCTATGTGAAAGTCTTGTGTAGTTAGATTCAAGGTAAAACTGAGTGAACAGAGGTGCAGCCCTCATACACAGTTTGTTTTTCACGGTAGATGAGGAAGAACAGCCTGTTCTAAGCATGCAGGAGCTCAAGACTGAAGACTCCTTCCCAAAAGGTGGTTGGCAAATCTTTAATTCTAAGTCAGAACTAGTTGGATCAGAATGAAGTTGAATTGTCGTAAAATATTATTATCCAAGGTGTGCTCTGCTTGTCTCCCAGTCACAGCTAGGATAGGTTCCAATCACCCTTTGACCTTGAGCTAGAAATTAGATATATGAGTGATATTTTATCAGAATTAAAGTTCTTGTTGTGCAATAAACCTTCTCTGTCACTGATGTAGGTGTTTCAGTGGCTGCATGGCTCTGTTCTAAGACCTTCCTGTGCTTTGAATCACAGATGTGGAAAGTGTTGGATGGGAGTGTTGCAACTCAAAAAAGTAATATATTCCACATTACTTGTGACTTTCCTTAAAATAAGTCAGCAATTACATAATTGCTTTTTGCACTACTCATTACATACACATATAGATTAAAACGCATTGTTACATAAATACCAGTGAATAATATTAACTATACACTGACACACAAATCCCTATCTTAATGAGGACACAAACATATGAAAACAAAACAAACAACAAAAACGAAAACCTTAAACCAGTCCAAAGTGACTTTAAAGACTCTACACCAGTGGTTCTTAACCTTGTTGGAGGTACCGAACCCCACCAGTTTCATATGCGCATTTACTGAAGCCCTCTTTACTGAAAAATAAAATATGATTTTTTTCAAATTCAAAAAACATAGATATGTTTTTTACTGATGCACAAAATGAGCTGTGCATGTCACGGCGGAGGCTCTGCCGAACCCCTGAGACTGACTCACCGAACCCCTAGGGTTCGATCGAACCCAGGTTGAGAACCACTGCTCTACAAGAATAGGTGTTAGTAGTTTCAACGAAGCTGTGTCTGTCCTGGACAGAGCTTGCATTACAGCATCACACTCTTGTCTTTTGTGCAATAAAAATCAAGGTAATATCCTTCGCTACGCTCCTCAAAAGCTGTAGGCCCACTGTTTCTCCTCCCTGTGCAGGAACTGAAATCAGCTCATTGTACCGGGTGGGCCATTTATATGGATACACTGTAATAAAATGGGAATGGTTGGTGATATTAAAGTCCTGTTTGTGGCACATTAGTATATGTGAGGGGGCAAACTCCTCAAGATGGGTGGTGACCATGGTGGCCATTTAGAAGTCGGCCATCTTGGATACAACTTTTGTTTTTTCAATAGGAAGAGGGCCATGTGACACATCAAACTTATTGGTAATGTCACAAGAAAAACAATGGCGTGCTTGGTTTCAACATAACATAACACACACACCTTTCTCTAGTATTTAACATTATAACAAGCTACACTGGATTAGATTAAAAGGCTGAAGGCTGAAGAATTGTAAAATACTATTACTCCTACAGTTAAATATGTTCCCCCAAATTACTTCTTTTTAGCTGTTGCTGACTGCAGCTACAAGATGGCAGTACTGTCTTTACAGCACATGGATGCAAACAGGCAAGATGCTTTATGAGCGTGCTCTCTGAGATCAAAGGAGATCGCTTTACTTCGGTATGTTTTGTAATTCACACCTATTTTTAGATTTGACATATGTCCTGCATTACACTCAACACTGGTAACAGGTCGGCTAGACACAGCTGATCAGACCCCTTTGATTGTACTACATTGTTAGCATGCTTTTAAATGCTATCAAGTTGTTTTTCTTAGCACTGGTTTCTTATTTGTAGCCAAAGTCAAGTGGCCATTCTAAGAAGTGCAGCTCTGACCTTAAAAATTGACTGAGTTCATCATTTGAAATCCTGCTCTGCATGTTTTCAGCAGCTGACAGACAATCTTATCACTGCAGGCTGTGATGCAGCAGCAAAAGTCATCAAAAGAATGTCAGCCAAAGGCTATGAGGTGTTTCTGTGGGGATTCCATGAGTTATTTCACACAGAATAAATGAGTGTTTACCCTCTACACACAAACACTCTATTTTTTCATGTAAGTAAGAGTGTACAACCAGCGTAAGACCAGTTTTTCAATTCAATTCAATTTAGTAACACAGCGCCAAATCACAACAACAGTGGCCTCAAGGCGCTTTATATTGTAAGGTTGACCCTACAATAATACATACAAGACTGTTTCTGAGAGAATGGAACAGAAACGCATTCTCCAACATTTCTATTTACATCTTTTTCCCTGCGAAGCTATGCCACAGCTCGAGTGAAAACAGCATTAAGCAAAAGCTTGACTCTGTTTTTCCCTCCTTGCTGTTTGCCAGTGTGCAGTGGGGAACTAGGTCAGCAGCTCATGTGAGCTCTGTCCTACATCTGCTTTGCTACATCTCCAGCAGGCTGCTTGCTGGAGAGGAATCTTCAGCTGCAGTAACAAATCACAGGGTGTAACAAAGATTTTTACACAGTGGTGCTACCTCCCTTTTTTGTTTTTTGTTTCTATTAATGTGACACATTTTTGCATTTTACACCATTACTCAGTGATGAAGGCCTCTTCTCCTTAGCAGTGTTTTTTTTTTAACTCCTGAAATATATAAATAAGATAGCAGTAAGTATTTGTACTACCACTTGATAAAGAAGTCAAATCAACACAAGTTGGAGAGCTTTACCTCCAATGGAAGAGCCACACGCCACATTATTTTTCTTTAATAAAAGTTCTGAAACCAAGTCGTGACATGTACCTTTAAGCAGGTTACGTCTCCAAACAAAAGCAGGCTGAGATCAGGAAGAATTATCAAATTGCTGCACTTTGACTTGAGCATCTAGAACCAGAACGGTAAGTTACATGTGTGTCGAGAAAAGATAAGAAAACTTATTATTTACAATTAAACCAGAATTTAGACATTATTGGTTGTCTACATGTCTGAATTTAAATAATAATTTTTTGCTATATTATTCTTATTTTTATTGTTTGAACTTCTTAAATCGTGAGCAGACATGCCTCCTCGTACATAACGCTAAAATTTAGGAAATGTTTTGTACTGTACTGCTTTTTGATTAATATTTTAAATTCCTGGAGAATTCCCTGCCCGTGATGCTAAGCTCGATTTTTGCAGTTTGTAATCACTGACCCACTGCAGTAGTTTCCTGGGTGTTATTGCAACATATAAGAATGATAACAAATACTCAGATCCACCGTCTTATGTTATAAAATAAATCTTTTATTTTATCAAAAGTTGATCATGACAACAATATAATGCGCAAATGGAATAGACAGCAACAGAGTATATGAAAAACTAGTGCAAAAGAAAAATCACAAATACAAAAATATATTGCACTTGGTAATCTGAAATTTTACGTGGAAGAAGTCATGTTTGGACAACATTCTCAGTTTGATATATGCAACTGTAAACATTTACCTTTTATGCTTTGCCTTTTTCTTTTTTCTTTTTTTTGCAAGCACAAAGCTTCTGGATAAATCTACAGCGAGAGAAGCTCTAGTTTAGAGCTGAAACCAGCAGGCGACTTGTGGTATTTTATCTTAGTTAGTTGCAGTTGTGCTTTTTCTGTGGACCCAGTTGGGGTTTACACCTGGTCTCTAAACTTTCTTTCCCTCACTCACACACACACACACACACACACACACACACACACACACACACACACACACACACACACACACACAC